CAGCCACCACGTGTGGCCTCTCCACGGATGCGGACGCGGCGGTCCCGCCCCGCCCCCGCCGTGGAAAAGTACCGCGGCGCGCAGTACCCGCCCCCTTCCCCGCCCCCGGCCGACTCCCGCCCCGCCGGCCTTCTGGGCAAGCCCCCTCCCGTCCGGCCCCGGCCCCGGCGGGTTCTCCCTCTGGCCTTGGCTTCGGGGTGCGGGGCGCCGCTTGGGGGTGGCGCCCCGGGCTGCTAGGCCGCTGCCCTCACCTGTGGCCGCCCGAGCCCGCCCTGTAAGCGCCCAGAATGAAGGCTGGACTGGGGAGGGCGCAGATTCTTCCCGGGGTAGCAGCCCCCAGAGAACTCCACGGCCCTAGTCCCTTTCCAAAGCCACGGCCGGAGTCGCGGACAAAGAGCCGGGAGCGCCGGACTCCTCGGCGCGGCTTCCCGGGACCGGCGAGCCCCCGGGAACCCGCACGGGTCGGGAGGTGGGCGGGTAGATAGGGAGCCCAGCCGGCTGGAGCGGCCAGATAGGCAGCCAGGGTGGCGGCAGGGCGAAGCGATGGGGCCGGGGCTGGCAGGCGGGGCGCAGGCACGGCCTGCGGGTTCCGGGCCCCCACAGACCCCCGGCGCGCAGACCCAGCGGCGCCCAGACGGACCGTGACTCGCTCTGGTTCCGGTGCTACCCGCACAGCCCGGCGCCGGCGGCCCCCGACCGAGCGGGCGTCCGCACGCAGCGCCCCGACTCCGGGGTCGCCCCCCCCCCCCAACACACACCCGCCTTTTCTGCCGGCTTCAGCTCCTTGGTGACAGCGAGACACCCAGACGCGCGCACCTACCCCGACCTTAGCGGCGAGACGTACATCCCCGCGCGTGCACCCACACTCTTACCCACAGATGCCTGCAAGCATGCTCGATCACCCCCCCCCCCGCCAAAAAAAAAAAAAAAAAAAAACCCAAAAAAAACCCCAAACCCCAAAAAAAAAAAAAAGCGGAACGCACACTGGTCCTGGGGCTCAATCCCGAGGAGCCACCAAACACCCAGATCGATGGCTGGACAGATGCGGTGCGCGCCGCAGCGCCCCCTTCCCCCAGCCCCTTACCATGCTGCAGCCCCCGGCCCAGCGTGCTGGGTCCGCACCGCGCTGCGCCCAGGTGGCTTTCTTAAAGGGAAAGTTGCATCAGCCTCCGAGGCTGAGTGCCGCCCCGAGTCCGCCCGCCCCGCTGCGCTGCTCCGGGCTCCTCCAGAGCTTGTTGTGTTTTGGTTTCGGGGAGGCGGGGGCCAAGACTTTGGTGAAAGTTTAGAGACTGAGAAGGCTTGGGAGACCTAGCCAAGTCCCTCCCCTCCCAGAACAGCTCTCCTGGCTGCCCAACCCCCCCATCCCCACCCCTCCTGGCCGACTTCTCAGGCTCCTCCTCCCAGGGAATAAAATTACAAGTCACTCCAGCTTTCAGATGATTGATCCCCTCTCACCCCGGGGAGTGGGCTCCACAAAGGAGCCCCCTGCTCCGTCCCTGCCTCTCTTCCCTCCAGCTGGGGCCCTGGAAGGAAGCAGATGTCGTCCCCTTCGGGCGAGGCTGGAATGAAGCCAGAAGTCCTGGACCACTTCGGGGGCTGGGGCTCCAGTTAGCCTGCCAGGTCCCCGGGGCTTCTGCGCCTGCGTTGCCCCTAGAGAGGCGTCTGAGCAAATTCCGTTCCCTTTGGAACAGCGCCGCTAGGGATGTGGGCACAGATGGGTGAAGGCCTTGGTCCTGCTCCTCAGAGCTGGAGCTCTAGGGGTCATCTTTTCTCCAGGGACCCTCCTTTGACCACTGGCTTGGTCAACCCTACTCTGGCCATTGTGCTACAGGGCTGCAGACACGAACCTGGGCCTCCTCTCCCCGGGGAGACAGACCAGCGTTCCAATACCAGCTAAAGGAGACTTTGCCAAAAGGAGATTTGGCGAGCCTCAGTTTCCTCCCCGAGAAATGGAGAGGATAAGCTAAGGTAATGATACTTGTATGGGAAACACGTTGCTCCAGGCTCTTCTGGGAGCGATGTTTGGCGGTGGTGGAAAGGGGCTCCACATTTGCTTACCCTGTGAGAGCCACCAGCTTTCAGGGAGAAGGGCCAGTAAGGACTGGCTGTCAGAACAGTCCTTGATGTCCCAGCCTTACCTGAGTACGTTCTTCACTGTTGTCTGTCCAGGAAACAGGTTTTATTTGTTCCCTGGGGACAATCAACCTCTAAGCAGCGGAGGCACACATGCCAAACTTGTACAAGATCAATTGACGGGTGAGAGTCCACTTTATTAACTTACAATCAGAGGCACTGAGCAAGATAGCTGGAATCAAGCACAGGCACTTCCTGCTGGCCGGACTCTCAGCCATAGGCAGGTACTCCACAGACCTTCCCCAGGGCCCTGCCAGCTCAGAACTTACAATCTATTCACGTTGGAGACTTGATCAGATCCAAGAAGACAGGCAGGTCTCATCAGCAAAATTTTCATTTTTACTTTCTGCCAAACCTAGCAGGTATAGGATGTTGAGGATTTATATCCTATGAATGAATTGTAGGTGTCTTGTGTGTGTATGTGTGTGTGCACACACGCACGCACGCGGGTGCACCTCTAACTGAGCAGTCTGTGGTGTCTGTGGATTTGTGTAGGTGTGTCTGGTGGAAGAGCGACTGTGTGTGCACTGCAGCAGCTCTGTGTAGTGGTGTGTGTGTGCCCACCTTTGGGGACTGGGCAGATCTGATCCAAGCCCTTCTTGCCTCTCCTGCCAGGACATACTAGTACAGTGATGGCGAACCTTTTGAGCTCAGCGTGTCAGCATTTTGAAAAACCCTAACTTAACTCTGGTGCCGTGTCACATATAGAAATTTTTTGATATTTGCAACATAGTATAAAAAAGATTTATATTTTTGATATTTATTTTATATATTTAAGTGCCATTTAACAAAGAAAAATCAACCAAAAAAATGAGTTCGCGTGTCACCTCTGACACGCGTGTCATAGGTTCGCCATCAATGTTAGTACATTCTGCTTCTGGTCTCTCCCTCCCACCTGAGGCTTGTCAAAAAAGGGCCACCACACAGGGAAGGCAGGAAAGAGGCTGTTGGAAGAGGACCCCCAAGTAGTGGAGTGGGGACAAGGAAGAAAGTGAGAGGAGGGGGCCATGGCTTCCTTTCCCTTTGACTGGGGGTGGGGGAGTGAGAAGAGACCACTGTGTCAGTGAAGGTTCTTAAAATTGTCATGGCCCAGGGAAAGTGGGGCTTTCCCACCTCAGACGTGGAGGCACCATACAAGGGAGGCAGAAGGGGTGTTCAGGATGCTTGGTGCCCCTCAGGCCTGGCTGGGGGTGGGGTGCTCAGGATTCAGCCTTCTGAGGCCCTACCAGGAAGAGAGGGAGACCATCGGGGAGACAGCTAGTTCCTTAGCCCATGGGTGGGGGAAAGAGAAGATTTCCCCTGGGATGTTTGGGGAAGTTAGAGATATTGCCCAAGGGGTTTTTTTTTTAGACAAACAGATGACATAACAGAAAGTATATTTGTATACATCTAGAAAGATTGATAAATGTGTACATTGTGCCCATCTCGATCCAGATAGGGTTTCAGGACACCGCACAGTGAGTTCAATCCTGAGAAGCTTGTGAGAAAAGATTCTAGTTTGAAAAGCTGTTTTCATGAGACAGGGACTAGAGCAGCTGTTTTTTTCCAACCAGAGAGAGGCCCCAAGGGAGGCAGGTCTGGGCTGAGCCCAGGTCAGAGCTGGGATGACCTTCATCCTTTGGATGTGGGCAACTGACTCACAGGATGGGAAGGGTGTGTGAACAGAGTAGGGGGGATCAGGCCTGAGAACAGACAGGAGGACTACCGGGGGTCAGATATCTGGCCTGCCCTCTGCCGGGGCAGGGCAGCAAGAGAAAAGGCAGCTGGCTGGGCCCCACCCACTGTGGGCTGAGGCGTGTCTCAGGAACCTCCAGTTATAGTGCTATTTCCTCGGAAGACTGCGCCCAGCATCAGATCCCCAGTGCTGGCTGGTTTCCTTACTTGTCATCAGCCTGCAGGATCAAGGCCTCTGTTGGGACTCACAGAATCAGTGTAGGTGTGTGTCTGGTAGAAACAGGGATAAGGCCAGACGGGGGCCACTTCTGGAGAGCACTGTAGGAGCTGGCAGCATTGGCACCTTGGTGGAGGGGTGCTGAGGGACCCTGTTGAGAGTTGGGGGAAGGTGGACATAGCCTGTCCTGACCAGTGGTCTCTACCTCCTAGGAGCCCAGCAGCTAGAAAACACGATCGTCCGTGGCCTGTCTGGGCTCTGCCAACAGGTTCTTTCTCCCTTGAACTTGGAGCAAGCGCAGTGATCAGTGCCTGGCACCTTCCCTCCTCTGTCCCAAGGCAGAGGAGCAAGTTAGATTGGTTCTAGATCCAAGAGCTGTCTCCAGGGCTCCATGTGCCCCTCAGGACACTCTGTTGTACGTTCTCTGGCCCTGACCCATCGGGCCAGCACGAACTAATCACGGGGCTCAGAGCAGAGCTCCAGGCTGGACCTCAGTGGCTGCAAGTAAATTAGGCATACAGGTTGGGAACACCGACTTTGGCCCTCCCTGAGGTGGGGCGGCAACACTGATGTCCAGAACATTTAGTGCCCAGGCACCTAAACACCTTAGAGCTCCCAAAGTCCAGAATTCCCAAATGTCAAGGGTGTCAAAGCTCCCCACACTGTAGAAAACCCCCAACTCAGAGTTCCCAATACCCAGAACCTCCAGTGCCCACACCCAGGGGGCCTAATGGCCAGAGCCCAACATCTAGACAACTCAATGTTCTTTTAAAAATATATATAGCGGAGAGAGAAACCAAGATGGCGGCATAGGTAAACACCGGAGATTGCTGCCTTGCACAACCACTTCAAAAATACAACTAAAAGACATAACGGACATCATCCAGAACCACAGGAAGGCTGGCTGAGTGGAATTTCTACAACTAGAAGGAAAGAGAAAAGCATACCGAGACTCAGAGGAGGTGCGGTGCGGAAGGAAAATACAAAGGTGCGGAGGTGCATGCGGAGAGGGCTGGCGGCTGAGGACACGGTGGTCGTTTTCAATCGGGAGGGAGTCTCAGGCTCTGAGCTCCAGTTCCGGGTGAGTCTTTGAGGACCCAGACTCACACGGGAGAAACGGGACTGTCTGGCATCGGTGGGAACTCGAGGGCAGCTTTCTCTCGGAGGTGCTTGCAGCAATTGCCAGGACCTCTGAAGGCAGGACGGAGAGCAGCCATACTGCTCGCTCTGCTGGCCCTGTTGATCCCCTGGGACCCGCCCCGCCCAAGCCCTGCACGGAGGCTTTTGCATATGAAAGGCCCGGCCCTTTGTAATCTGAAAATAACTTAACAAACTGCAGCTGCCCCAAGGCCCCAGGGCAACTTGCATTGCTTTACATCTGGCTTCTGCTGGGTAGCTGCAGGCAGAGGCTAGATTAGCACCTCCTTAGATCCAAGAGCCAGTGTTCCCAGTGGTCAGAGTGGGACCATCCAATTACAACTCCTCAGATCTACAAGGGACACACTCAGGGGGCAGACTCAGTGAGCACCAAAGCCCCACTGAAGCAAGTCTTGCCCCATAAGGGTGTCTTCAGCACAGAAGTTCTCCCACCGTAGACACAGCTGATTCTCACAGCCAATTGGCCTGGAGGTCAAATCCTCCCAGTGTTTAACTACAACAATCAAGGCTTAACTACAACAAGACTGTGCACAAAGCCCACAAGGGGGTGCACCAAGAGTGTCTACCTCAGGTAATTGGGACACTTAGCACAGAAAGCCACTCTATCGACACAGCGAAGCATAAAAAATGCCGAGACAAAGAAACAGGACACAAATGACAGAAATGGAGGAAAGCAAAGTACTGGATATAGAGTTCAAAACCACACTTTTTAGGTTTTTCAAGAATTTTCTAGAAACCGCCAATAAATGTAGTGAGATCCTTAAGAAATCTAGTGAGACCCTCGATGTTGTGATAAAGGACCAACTAGAAATTAAGCATACACGGACTGAAATAAAGAATATTATACAGACTCCCAACAGCAGACCAGAGGAGTGCAAGAATCAAGTCAAAGATTTGAAATACGAAGAAGCAAAAAACACCCAACTGGAAAAGCAAAATGAAAGAAGAATCCAAAAATAGGAAGATTGTGTAAGGAGCCTCTGGGACAGCTTCAAGCGTACCAACATCCGAATTATAGGGGTGCCAGAAGAAGAGAGAGAGCAAGATATTGAAAACCTATTTGAAGAAATAATGACAGAAAACTTCC